TAAACAGCTGGGTTCTTCAGGGTTAAGGTAAGCCGTAACTACCTGCGGTCTCCATTCTAGTTCCATTTTCTGGCTAACTAATTTTATGGCTAAGATCCTGTAATATACATTTTGGTTAACTAAAAAAAACAATTACAATGGAGACTATAACCAGGGAAAGCCCTGGTTTGTCCCCTCCTTGGGCTGAAGGCCTCGTTTTCCCGATAGGTCAGAAACCGCTGAAGCCAAACCTCTAGTTGAGGGTTTAGAGTTTGGGGTTTAGGCTTGAACCCCGAATTCCTAAACCCATGCCGCCTTGAACCCCTCACCCTAGAAACCTTGACCCCAAGCTCCTATAGGGCAAGGGGAGCCCTGCAGTAACAGCCTGGTTTCAACAACCAGGATGGTGAGGTCTCCGCAGGTTGGAGGTAGACGCTATGGTTAAAAGAGGGTTTAGGGTTTCATAGGTCTTCACAGGTTTTCAAGAATTTGAGGGGCTAGACCATATTCGTATTCATTTTCGCTTGACTGCCTGTCAGGATGAGCCCTCTGTGTTTCGGAGTTGGGGTTTAGGGTTCCGGGCATCGCAACGGCTTTGAATTTTGGTTCGGGCTCTATAATGCCCAAGACGCTCCAAGAGCTGTGCGTTTCCGAGATTGAGAGTCCGTGACCGTACAGTTCCGGGCCTGCATTTCCACGCGTGTCTCCCAGGACACCTCAACTTCAATCTACCCAGAGGCCCCATAGTAGTTCCTTTTTGGGATTATCTTATAGGATTCTAAATATGTATCCTCAGTCCCCACAATCATAACACTAGAGTCACTGTATTGACATATCCCCTAAGGAGCCTTACTGTGCACTCGCCCAAATCCCCATTAAGCCCACCTCACGCAACTGTATTTCACATGACTGTAGCCGGACCTCTCAACCCTAAACTCCCTAAACCCGATTGAAAACCCTCAACCCTAGATACTGAAGTCCCCACTTAATCCCTCGACTCCCTCAACCTTGAACTCCCTCAACCCTGAACTCCCTAAGCCCTAAACACCCGAAACCCGGAACGCCCCAAACATGAAAACCCAAATTCCCTAAACCCGTCCCATAGGCCCCAAAGTATTTCCTTTTGGGGATTACCTTCTAGGCTTCTGAATATGAGCCCCAAAAAGGAACTACTTTGGGGCCTTAGGGTGAACCCTACTTGGGGGCTCGGGGGACGTAGTAAGTAGTTAGTAAGTAGACTTAGAAGTACCCTAAAAAGGACCCTAATTAGGGTTATGGTACTTATAAGTCCCTAAAATAACCAGTTACTAAGTCCCCCGACCCTCCAAGTAAGCCCTAAACCATCCCTCGAAAAGGGCGGCGTGTGGACATTTCCCCCGGGCGCCGCGAAGCTGAAGGTCTCCCTGACAGTGCAGCGCCCAGAGGGGCCAAGAAGCCCCCAACAAGTCTTTTAAGGGAGATTTCGATGTGCCTTTGAAGGAATCTGAACCCTAAACCCTAAACCCCCTAAACCCTAAACCCCTAAACCCCAAACTCTAAACCCTAAACCCGAATCTTAAGGGTTCCTGTAATAGATCTGAACCCTAAATCCGAATCCTTGGGATCTTCGATTTGCTGCCTCCTTGGTATTCCTTGCAGGGATCTCGAAGGTTTTTGCTTGAACATTTGGGTTTTGCAACTTGAGCATGAGCATGATGTTGACATATATATACATATATATGTATATATGGGGGTTTCCGAAAATAGGGGTACCTTATTTTGGGGCCCTTCTTATAAGGATCCTACTATTTAGGCTACTATATTAGGGTCCCCCCATTTGTGTCTGTGTTTAGTAGTTAGTTGCCACCCTTGAAAACCCTGGGCCCTAAACCGTATGTCGCAAAAGCATAATCATAAGCCCTAGCGTACAATGTAACGGAAAACCCCAAAACCCTAGGCCCTAGGCCCTAAATGCCTAAACCACCTAAAAGAGAGTAAACCGTAGCCGTAGCGCGATGAGCTCCGGGTCGACTCCCTGAGGAGGTTTGCCATGTCATTTGGCATGCCACGTTTAGACGATGCCGAGGCAGAAAGCCTGGATGCTCGCCTGGCCAAGCTGTAGGACGTTGGACCGGCTCGTGCAGTCGGGAAAGGTCACCTGCTCGAGCAGCGCTGACATGTACATGGGTGGTTGTCAAAATTAGGGGCCCCTTTTTGGGTACCCTAAATAATAGGTGCCGTATTATAATAAGAACCCCAAAAGGGACCCTAATTTTGATAACCACCCACATCCAAAGATGGCCCCCGCTGCGAAATTATCCGACTCGGGCTGGGCTTGCTGCGATCCACGTGAAGCTCAGCCGAGTAGTTCCAGTTCGGCTGTGACACGATGCACACTCGTATGCTGTTCTTGTTGAGGCCTTCAGTTGCTTGGTTTAGGGATTTGGGGCATGAGGCCTTCTAGAATTTGAGACCCTTTATCTATCACTTTTCAATTTACAGCCGCTCTAGCACGAACATCGGTCCTGCATTTCTGCCGGAGATATCTGCTAGAAAGAAGACGGCTGTCTCCGCGAGATCGAGAGTTCCCTAAAACAACCCTCGGTTTAGGGTTTAGGGTTTCTGTGGGGATTGTCTTGCAACTTCTTGAAAGGCTGTCGGTCGAAACTTGGGGTTTACCTAGACCCCCCAAGTACCCTCTAATATACCCCACATACCTACTATGAAGGACCATAAGGGCTCCATGAAGGGGCCATTTGGGGGCTGGTAGGGTTCAGGGTTTAGGATAGGGTTTAAGTTCAGGTTGTGCAGGGCTCGAGCCCTGCTTGAACCCGGAACCCTTAAGGGTTTAGGGTTTTAGGGGTTTAGGGTTTAGGGGTTTAGGATAGGGTTTAGGGTTTAGGATAGGGTTTAGGGCCCTTCTAGCGTTCCTCATTAGGATGTCCTTGCATGAGTAAGTATTTGGGTGCTAACCCCATGGGTCCACGTGCCGAATGATCGCATACTCTCCCAACTATTAACCTGCATAGCTACTATACCAAACACAAGTACCGAATAATTGGGTCCTGTGGACCCCTAGGGTAAGGTGCACCCCTAAAGCCGAGGGATTGTGATTAAAACACCACCCCTCCCAACAAAAAAGGCTTCACCCGATTTAATTGGAGGCCCTGGGGTTCGGTGCTGTGTGTCCCAACTCAGTTGCCCATCGACGAGTTCCTGCATCTTGGGGAAAAGAAGGATAAGGCCGGCTCTTGTCAAGCTGCCGAAGGACCCAAGGGCTCGAAAAGAGTATGAGTATGTACAGCTCATACTCAGTATAAGGTTTTGCAGAAGCTACAGTGGTACAAGGCTTACACTCTACTTGTTGACGGTCATCTGGTCTTTGCCTGAAGTTGAATTGCGGGTTTGGTGTTAGGAGTGACCTCTCCCCTCAGCGAACCAGGAGACAACTTGGGGTTGGAGCTAGAACGGCCCTCGAACTGCAGTTGTTTTCATCATACTTAAAGGCTCATGGGACTTAGTAAGTAAGGTTATAAGTAGGTTGTAATTAGGATAACCCCACTTAGGGGACTTATAACCCCAATTATAACCTACTTACTAAGTCCCATGATCCTTCAAGTATCTTTGCAACATCACAGGAGTTGGCATCCTGGTAGTCTAAACTCGAAGCCCGCAACACGAAATCCGACCAGAAATCCTAAAGCCAGCTCGGATGTGTTCAGCGTATGCCGGGGCTTGGGTTTCGATCCCTAGGATGCCCAGTAGTACCCTGATTCCCTTTTTGTAGTCCTAGGTTCCTTATAAATTATAAAGTTACCCAATACCAAAAAGGGAGGCCTTTTTATTCTTAGGTTACTGGGTATCCTAGATCCGTTAGCCGAGACTTGGCTGGGCTCTTGTTAAGGAGCTTGCAGTTATGGGTTATTGGTTTGGGTTTGAGGTTTACGGGTTTGGTTAAGCGGCCAGAAAAGCAAGGACATGTATGTGTATATATATATATATATATATGTACACATACATATCTGTATATATATATACATGTATGTATGTATGTATGTATGTATGTATGTATGTATGTATTTCTCTCTCTCTCTCTCATATTTCGGGTTTGTCTATCTGTCTATATCTCTTCCTGACATTTACTCTACCTCATCTACCTTATCTGTCTAACCTATGGGATCGAACTCATGATTTTCTCATCAATCTTTCTATCTACCTATTTTTTAGGTTTCTATACATCTACCTACTTCATATGTATATATACATATATCTATTTATGTATATATGTATCTCTTGTGTCGCTCTGTCTGCCTGCCTGCCTACCTGCCTGCCTGTCTGGGTGTCTGTCTATCTGTCTATGCTGCCAATATGCTTTCCTATTCATAATCGAAGAAAGCCTAGCAAGGACCTAGGATTGTTGATGAGGGCAGTAGACTCCTCTGTCAGGTCCACACAACTCAGAAGGAGAAGCGCGAACACGTCGTGGCTTTGCAGCGACGTGCAGCCGTCCGTGTTGATGCAGACTGCGCACCCTGAAGCTGAATAGTCGTTTAGTCAGGAGAGCAGTGCTACAATCTGCTGCAACTCTAAGCCCAAACAGCCCTTTCCAAGCATTGTATGTTGAGCAGGCGTTTGGAGGTCGCCGGCAATGGGAGAGTCATTTTTAATTACGATCTTTTGCGAAGTTCTCCCCACTGAGCCGGTAGGCTGGCTAAATCAGCATGCCCACGTTCAGCAGCGCATAGTCGCCATTTTAGTTCCCCTAATTTGTTTATGATTTTCATGTGGTGTCATAGTATATACAGGAGACCATTCCAACAAAGTTGGCCTGGCAAGTCGAGAAAGGCACTTCAATGGAGACGACTATGATAAGATGTTCTCAGAGGTTGCAAAAGCTGCTAGCAGTGATCTGTCACCTGGCACTAGCCCTGCAACCGGCTAGGTCTGTCTCTGCACAAGGCTATTTGTTTTATCCTCGTTGTCCATCACAATCACCCATCTCTCTTTGAGAAACGTCCATTGAGCCAATGAAGCCTCTCCCGATGCCAGCATTGAGTGCCTACGAACGGCCGGTGGGTGCTCCGGATGTCGACAAGACCCTGACCCGAAATCGGATGGCACCTGGCACTGCATTTGGGGGCCTCGCAGGATTGGGATTGGGATTGGATCTGTCGGGTCACTCTTGTGTTCAGGGTCGCTGCCAAGGTTTCAGATGAGTAAAGTTCAGAATTTCGTGAGCTGAATGCCTGCAGGGTTTGTGAGGTGGGGAGGTATGTCGGCCCGAAGCTGCCTGGGACTCCTGAACTCAGGGCTACTTCATCTGCTTCGATGTGTCGGATGACTCGATGGCTTCACTGCGGGAGGTGGGAAGCTACCGTGCAGGGAAAGGCGTGGAAGCTCTGAACATCAGACCACTAACAAAGGAAGCCTCGAAAGGTATATGCCAGGCAGCTATAAGAGTCCCGTGCGGGTTGGTGGGGTTGTAGGTTAAGTGTCGAAGCCTGAATAGTTACCTATGCCGTTCCTCAAACTTTCTTATTGCAGTGAAACTGCTGGAGCAGAATCTACCCAACACCTACTTCAATTACAGCCTGGAGACCAAACCCGAAACCTACACAAAGCCCTGAGCAATGCTTATTCTGCGACAAAATCAAAATCCAGCTGCGTGTTTTGTTTGATTTGGTGGTTTTGGCTTTCCGTTTAGGGAGAGATGAAATCGAACCTTGGACACCTGCGAACCTACCTGCCTCTCACGCTGGAATCCTTGACTCCTTGAAATCCCTCTAATCTCCATTGTAGTTCTTTTTTTTGTTTAACCAACTTTATATTAAGGATCCCCAAAAGGTAACCCCAAAAAGGAACGACAATGGATACTATAGGTCAGCAGGAAACCTTAGACCTCAAACATGCAGAGATCGGCCCTGGTCCTAAACCATATACCCTAAAGCCGAAATTTCCTTGGCTAAACCGTGAAAGCCTGAAAACATATTTGGGTGGTTGTCAAAATTATAGTCTCTTTTTGGGTACCCTAAACATTAGGTGCCGTATTATAGTAGGAACCCAAAAAGGGACCATAATTTTGACAACTACCCATATGATAAACACCACCCCCACACACACACACACACACAAGAGCCCGAAACCCAATCCCCGTGGAAGCAGACAGGCCATGGCCGTCCATAAGATGCTCTCAGATTCCTTGGAGAAGGTCCGGTGCTCAACGGGGCCTTACTTGACCCCTGACCCTAAAATGCCGACCTCTTGTAGGACTTATGTAAGGAAGTCAAAAAAGAGGAAACCCCCAAGAAGTAGATGGTTTAGGGTTTTAGGCTTTGAAGGTTCAGGTGGATGGAGTCCATGCACCGCACAGTGATTTCCCATTGCTCGCCCCCATCCGTCATTGCTTTTTTCCTAAATCCAGAGACCCAGCTGTGGACTTTTGGGATTGCGGTTTGGTGTCCAGGAAGGTTTTGGATTCAGGGTTGAAGTTTAGGGTTTGAGGGGCATAATTTTAACGCTACGCCGCCCGCCTCGGCTCTGTAGTGGCAGGGGTATACCTTCTGGTCACCCTAAACTCTAAACCCTAAACCCTAAACCCTAAACCCAAACCCTAAACCCTAAACCCTAAACCAGACAGGCAGTGGATTGACGCAAAAGCCAAAGCGGGGGCGAGGAAGACGAAACGAGGGCGGAGAAGAAGTGGGAGCAGGAAAGAGGGAAGAAAAAGGGGGGAGGGGGGGGGGAGGGGGGGAGGGTGGGGGGGGGGTGGGAAAGGGGACGGGGGGGTGGAGGAAAAAAAGAGGGGGGAGGAGGATTGGGAGGGGGGGTAGGCCCGCAAATCAAAGAAAATGAGGGGAGGCCGGGCAAGGGGGTGGCAAACGAGCGCAAAAACAGGGTGTCACCAAACATTTGGGCTGGGGGAGGAGGATTAGGTGGAGGGTACCTGAGGTAACTGGGCCTGTGGCCTCGGCGGATATTTTTTTCCTGCCACATGGGGGAGCGGGGATACTTTTGGGGTGTGCCCGACAGGCACGCAACCACGGAAATCCCACAAGCACCTCAAAGTCATCAACACGCATCGAGCTCAGGAACAACGACCGGAAGCTTTTGACGCCCCCAGACTACGCATCGACAGCATACTTGGGGGGTCGGGGGACTTAGTAAGTAGTTCGTAAGTAGACTTATAAGTACCCGAAAAGGGACTCTAATTGGGGTTATGGTACTTATAAATCCCTAAAACAGCCAGTTACTAAGTCCCCCGACCCTCCAAGTACATCACCTCGAGACCTGAAGAGTTCGATTCCCAGTCAGCCCTTGCATTCAGCCACCCCTGAACCTAACATAAGCCGAAATTCTGCAGCATCAACGCCCAAGATCCCCTAGACTTCAAAACCTTAAACTGAAACCCTGAACTCCGACACTAGAACCTACCTACCTTAACCCCAAATAGCCTACCTTTTCATGGACTTTTGTGAGGATGTTTCAAGCAAGATAGGGTTTTAGGGGGTCAAGCGAGCCCAAGCCCATGTTGGCAAGAGCGAGTGAAGAGCAAGGGCTCCGGGGTGCTAGGGAGTCGGGGAGCCATTGAGTCGGAGGGCAGCGCCACGGGAAGTGAGAGCCAAATCCGAGTGATGCTCCTGGAAGCTCTGGAAATTCAAGGATGCCTAGTCAGCCTGTCTTCTTCCATTTGGGGCTTACCTGACCAATGCTCCAAATGTTGAAGAGGTCGGGTCTTTCGAACAGCAGCAGAAGGTCGTGAAATTCATAAGCCTTAAGTAAGAAGCACTGGGGGAGGTCGTAGGTTCGTTTTTAGTTCTGCGTAAAATCGCATGGAAGAACGCCACGAGACCAGGCCCAAACATGGTCCCGACGTACCCTGACGGCCTCTCTTCCATGCTTGCACAAGGGGAGGGGGTGGGGCACAGCCCATTGGCCTTTTCCGGGTTTGGTTCGGGAGGCTAAATCCTGCACCCTTGAACCCTACACCCCAACCCCAAGACCTTCAAAAAGCAGGGCGTGGGGTTTAGCGTGTTTAAGGTAGAGGTGGTTTGGTTGTTTTTCGAAATTATGGGGTTTGGATTTAAGGTGGCTGCGGGGGTCTAACAGTAAAGTAGAGACAAGAACAAGGTCAAGCACAGGGAATCCTAGCACTGATCGTCCTAAGTCCATGTTCCAAACTTCTGGGGTCCAACGGTTTAGGGTTTAGGGTTGCGAATCTGCTTGTGTACATTGGAAAGATTTGGGTTGTTGAGGGCTTCGGGTTTTGTGTCTGGGATGCATGGGAGAGGCTTTGAAGGATGTATAGGCTTCGGGGGTAAGGATTTTTTGGTGTAGGCTTTAGGTTAGGATTTAGACTCTGACTTAGACTAAACTTGGATTTTTAGGTCGTCTGATATACGGACTGCATAATAATTATAATAGTACTAACCACTATTCCTTGAAGATTCCCGAATACACGCCGTGAGCTGTGTTCGCTAGAAAAGCCTTTTACAGCCCTATTCTGAGTAGTGAAGACCCCATGCTAAATGAAGGGTGATACCCAAGCTCGGAGATTTAAGAGCTGCTACGCGCTTTTTTCGGGCTTAGGATTCAGTTTCATGGATTCAAGGTTTAAGTAGCTCTCCGAAACACCATAGCCATAGAACCTGTGATCTGTCTTGGGCAAAGGATCTGGGCTTTCAAATCCTCCTAGGGCAATTATACGGGTTCCTTTAAGGGTTATGATAAGGTTTCCTTATCGGGTTGTGATAAGGATTCCTTTTTGGGTTGTGATAAGGATTCCGTAAAGTCAGATCATACGGGCACCATTTAAGGGAGGCGAAAAGCTGGAGTTCTTTTAAAACTCCAGTCGTTCGATGCAGGTCTGAAGTCCTAAGCCCTGCACCGATGCTGGTCCTACTATACGGTTGATATTATAAATCCTGCATTACCTTGAGGACCCTAATCTATGGGAATAATGGTATACTCCTTGTTATGGCTACGGCTTTAAGTCTTGGGCTTTCTGGCGGGAGGCTTGGGCTGGGGGCTACCCTACGGCTCCCAAGAGGATCTTGGGGTTTTGGGATCTCATTGCAAGGGTTTAGGGTTTAGGGTTTTGGGGTTTAGGGTTTAGGGTTTTGGGGTTTAGGGTTTAGGGTTTGGGTTTTGGGATCTCATTGCAAGGGTCTAGGAGCCGTTGGGTGCACATTAAATTCGCCCCAACACCCTCTTAACTTCGTGAAGGGCCTCAGCATGTGGCGGGAGCACCCGAACGCAGACTTAGACTAGTAATCAAGAAGGTATATCACTGCCCCAAAGATCCCATAAAGCCTGCACAACCCTTGCACAAACCTATAACCCCTCTAAACCCTTGCTCCTAAACCCCCTAGTTGAACCCTAAACTCTAACCCTTAAACCCTACAGCCGAAACCCTCAAACCCTAAAACCCTAAACCCAAAAACAAACTGTCAACTTCGGCCAGCCACACATCTGGCTCGTCGGCTGCCAGTCGGATAAGGCGACCTCCGAGGCGGAAGTGAGGCCAGGGGTGGAAGGGTTGATGATAAAAATCCTGCATTACCCATATTAAGGAATATACCATAATTCCCATAGTTTCGGGTCCTTAAGGTAATGCAGGATTTATATCTTCAACCGAAGGGCTGCAATACTGGAGGTTTAGGGTTTACAGTTAAAGGGTTCCGCTCAGGGCAATTATTAGGGATATGAATGCCTTAACAAGTAGAATAGGGTTTTGGGGGCCCATTATACTATACTCATAATCAGGAAGCCCCAAAATAGTATCAGCAATTATTTAGGCCCCTGTACTTGTCTCCCAGCTTTTTGTTTTGGCGTCCCCTTAGGTCTCCGAGTAGTACCCGTCTGTATTTTTCCTTTTCTGTTTAGATGGTAAAGACCCTGTGTTAAATGAAGTTTGATAATCAAGCTCGGAGATTTGAGAGCTGCCACGCGTTTTTTCGGGCTTAGGATTCATTTTTATGGATTAAGATTAAAGTAGCTCTCGGTGTTGCATCGAAACACCATAGAACTCGTGATCTGTCTTGGGCCAGAGATCTGGGATTTCAAATCGACTATAATTATGAGGGCTCCTTTAAGGGTAGGGTACCCGAAGGCTCCAAAGTAGCTCCTTTTTGGGATTCATATTTAGAAATCTAGAGGGTAGTCATATAAAGGAACTACTTTGGGGCCTATGGGTATAGATGTTGGAGTAGAAGTGGGCAGCGGCAAGAGTAGACTACATTGTCCCCCGAAAGTAGTTTTGTATTGGGTTGTCTTGCCTTGTCTTTTGCTGTGGCGTGCTTAGCAGCACAGTAGAAGCCCAAAAAGTTGGAAACCCAATAGCCTCAATCCTTAGGAGTAATGTATAGGGAATCCCAGCACTAACTGTCCTCAATGGGATTTCCAACTTTTTGGGGTCTACTATACCAGTGAATACTGCCGTGAAATGCTGAGGCGCAGTGAGGGTTTAGGTGTTTAGGGTTGTAACCCCCCCTGTCCCAAGTAGCAGCCGACGACCGTGTAGGGCTCATACACATCCCTAAATCCAAAAACCCCTCTAAGCGAAGCCTCCACATAGCACTTGTTGTTAGAACCAGTCTTGGCTTGAATGTGGCGTTACTGCAACTGGATGCCCTCGTCCTTAACCCCGAGCTCATATATGTGTGGTTGTCGAAATTATGGTCCCTTCTTGGGTCCCTAGTCAAATACGGCACCTATTATTTAGGGTACCCATAAAGGGACCATAATTTTGACAACTACCCATACGGCAACGAAAGTAGCGATTAGACCTAGTGACTGCAAACTAATGGGCTCGTGGGTAGTGCAGGGGTTCACACTTTTCTGAGGCACAGGTTTCAAAGAGCTGTGGCATGGAAGGTTGACCCCTAAACCCGAAGCCCAAAACCCAAAACCCCTAAACCCTAAACCTTGCGGTTTTCAAGCTCCCAGCCGACACAGGGCTTGGGCTTCGCGGCTCATGAACGACTTCTGGGGATAAAGGGGCGTTTCTGAAAATTCGGGGTACCTCATTTTGAGGTCCTCATAATAAGGATCCTACATTTCAGGATTTTAGGTTTATTTTCGGGGAACCTGCCACAGTATCCCAGGCCCAAATCGGATTTCAGAATCTGGTAGGTATCCTTGCCTGTCTCCGTTACGAAGCGTTGCTTTTGAGTTGAGCCAGGAAGAATGATCGTCATGCTCAGGTCATGCCCTCAGACCTATTCTGGCATACCCTCAGATTTATTCTGGCTTTGGACAACGTTGGCACGTTTGGCCCAGGGACCAACATGGTTTTTTGGAATACTTAGAGCAATCATGTGCAGACGACCGCGCATTGCAGGAGTTTGTTTCGCTGAATTAGCAATGTGATCTTGTTGCCGCACTCCGAACGCTGGCAAGAGCCGGCAGATGTTCATTCGCTATATAGGCAGGTCGTGGGAAGGGTTGTTCAAGTTGTTCCTGCTCACGAGGCCATCCGTTTGCTGGTGCATTCGTTACTGGCCTGTACGGAATCGATACATTACAAGGTACTATGGCCCTACAGGCAACGCACTTCTAGAATTTCCAAGGCCTATGCGGAGCAGCACGAGCTCATCTACAAAACCACGACGCAGCCTCGGAATTCCGAGGCGATCTCTTGTTGTGTTCATGTTGCTCGTGTGTTTGGGATTGCCCAAGCAAGTCACCTTGCACCCATTAGAATAAGGAGTCCTACCCAGAGAGCCCAAGACTCCCTTAATTGAGGAATTTTTCCTTAAATCAAAAATATTAAGGCCTCTGTGATTTGCGGTATATTCCCTTCTAGAACCTTTAAGTGTACATCCCTTTAAGGAGCCCTTTAAGGCTATATTCCTTGATTAAGGGGTCTTGGGCTCTCTGGATAGTACCTGAGCCCTACCCCAAGGCCCCAAAGTAGTTCCCTTTTGGGGGTTCACATATAGAATTTTATAAGGTACTTTGGGGCCTATTATAGATCCCTTTTAAGGAACCCTTTAAGGCCATATTCCTTATTTAAGGGGTATTGGGCTCTGTAGGAGTCCTACCCCAAGGCCCCGAAGTAGTTCCTTTTGGGGTTGATATTGAGAATTCTATAAGGTAATCCCAAAAAGGAACTACTTTGGGGCCTTGGGGTACTACCTGAGTACCGACTCAAGCTCCGATGCGGCAACCCACTGCGGTCATCAGCGTTGCAGTACGCGAGACGCCGTGGCACTTACCCATAGGCCCCAAAGTAGTTCCTTTTTGGGATTACATTCTAGGATTCTAAATATGAACCCCAATAAGAAACTACTTTGAGGCCTTAGGGTAAACTAGGGTTTGGGGGGGTATTTATTTTATAGTACAGCTGCATTGTATAAGGGGCTGAAATATCCCCCTCCATATATCGGTGGAGTTTCGGAGCTGTGTACACTCAGACTGATTCCAGGCCACATCATCCCGAGGCTCCGACATTCCTCAAGGAATGAGCCCCGAAGTATGAAGCCCGAGAGTGACTTTTCCCTGGGCTCCAGTTATCCTGAGGGTCCAAGTACCGAGTTATCATATACCCTAAACTTAACCCCTAAACCCTAAGTAAACCTTGAACCGTAAACCCTAAACCCTAAACTTAACCCTTTACCCAACCCACACCCTTAAGCCCTAAGGTAAACCCTGAACCCAAAACCCTGAACCCTAAGTCTCTGTTTTCTCCTTGGCCGAGCTCAGGTCAGCGAGGCAGCACAAGGGCGTGAACGAAGTGTTCATGGAGATGATTCAAGCCATCAGGCCAGCATGTTGGGACGTAAGGGTTCAGGGTTTAGGGTAGGGGTCTACGGGTTGAAGGGTCTAGGGTTCGGGGTTTAAGGGTTCACTAGAGCCTGAGACAGAGAAGCTTGACAGAAGAAAGGCAGATGCAGAGTTAACACACCTGGGTTTTATGGTAGGTCCCTTTAGGGGTAATATGGGGTTCTATAGTAGGGCTCCTTTTAAGGGGTTTAGCGTTTACAGAACCTCCAACTACCCTCTATTCGACCCTAAGTACCCGTTATTTGGGACCAGATGCCCCTATTTGAGGGTACAAGGAGGGTCCCGGCACATTGTACTTCTCACCCGTGGTCTCTTTTCCCGTCACTGTCTCCTACATGTATACAAGGAAAGATTCAGATGTAGAGAGGTATGCAACGGAGTATGAGTACCCATAGGCCCCATAATAGTTCCTTTTTGGGATTACCTTATAGGGTTCTAAATATGACCCCCCAAAACGAATTACTATGGGGCCTATAGGTAGGCATCTGACAGAGTGCACAAACAGTTAGTGCCGCAAGTTTGTGTGGGTCTTGACGCCTGTACTGTGTACATTTAACTTTTGGATCAGTTAGTGAGAGAGAGCGGGCAAAGGAGAGAGAGCGAGAGAGACAGAGCCTTAAACCCTAAACCCTAAACCCGAGTATAGCGAGAATGCCAGGGGGAGGACTGGGCGTAGAGTTTCGGCCTGTGGCCTTCTAGGGTTTGGTCTCGGGAAGTAGAGTTTGGGGCTTAGGTCCCAAACCTCCCGAACTCCTGAACCCTAAACCATACACTCTGAGCCTGCTTTGGCCGGGCAATGTATGCCAGAAAGGGGGCGTAATACAGAAACCTTGATAATTACCTTGCAATACTTTTTCAGGGGTTCCTAATTGTACTAGTTATTCAGGCCCCTTCATATTAGAGTACCCTTATAGATCCCCAGTGGCCCTTATAGAACCCTTTCAAAGGAAACCTTCAAAGGCACCCTATTCTAGAGTGTCCATGTATATGTATATATATATATATATATACGAGCATTATTAATGGAATTAGGTCCCAAGAGGCCATCCCTATTATGGCTTCTGGGACCTAATCCCATAAGAACAGTGTATATGGACCCTTTGAGCTAAGGCTCCTATACTATAATTACCCTTATAGCAACCCTTATAGAACCCTTTAAGGATCCGTTTCAAGGAACCCTATTTCGATAGTTAAATTCAGGCCCGTATAGTACCCCAGAGAGCCGAGACCCGAGGTTTAGAGTCTCTATATATAGACACATACATATTTATAAGGGCTTTTAGAGTTTAGAGTTTGGAGTTGAGGGTTTAGGGTGTAGGGACACTTTGGTATCTTCAGTCTACGCCAGCCCTAGTAGTCCTAGTACATTACTTGAGGCCCTCAGCCCTGTAACTGCCGACTACACCCTCAACCTCAAGTCGTCTTCAGGGTTTTAGGTCTAGGGGTTTAGGGTTTAGGGTGTTCGATGCATAGAACCGCTACGACTGTGGGTTTAAGGTTTAGGTAGTGGGCTTTACGTGAGGAGGCGTTTGGGGGTTTAAGTCTTGGCAAATAGGGCACGTAAGGGTTTCTGGTTTCAGAAATCTCGAGCTTTCTCGCACTTGCACATGTTGCTTCTTTACCTGTCGTCTCCACTTTGGGGTGTCTTATACGATCCCACATATAAAGTTGGTTAAGCTAAAAATTGAACTACAATGGAGACTGTAGGCAAAAAATCACACGGCCGTTGCTATATTTTACGTCATAAGCCCGATAGCCAAAGTTTGAGCCGGATCCCTTCATTCGCCAGTTCGCGCATGAACCTCTGGACGCTTGATGCCGACGTGGATGCGGAGGAAGATGACGAAGACCAACAAGTGCCTTTGATTGGAATGTCGGTTCTCTTCAGTAGAGTTGCATAATGACATCCCGTTCTTGCAGCACGGCACGCCTGCCTATGCCAAGCACATGTCTGTTTAGTGCCCTATAACCTGTAAACCACAAAAACACGCGCCACCGAGGCCTGTTTCTCCCAATGAGGGCCACCAATGTGCGGCTGAAACGGAAGGCTGCACTCTGCTCTCGGGAAAAAAAGAGCATGAGATTGAGCTGCCCGCGATGCCAAATGCCACTTATATTACCCATATATATATATATATATATATATATATATAAGCTATATATATATATATATATATATATATATATACATATACAATATATATATACATATATATATATATATATATATATATATATTGCATTGGTAGTCACAAACTGGACGCTGTGATTATTATGACAATTGTAAACGCTTCACGTCGTGCTCCCGCGGCTCGCGCGGGGGGGGGGGGGGGGGGGTGGTGTGGAGGGGGGCAATCTTTGGTCGTGAGGCTTGGAAGCCAAAATCGATTTTTGTCAGGTGGGATTTAAGAGGAGGTGAAAGTGCCGAAAAAGAAAAGGGAACCTCCGAACAACGCTAATTGCTGCTAGTATGGCTAACTCGTCTTGAACCTAGGGTTACTCCGGTCACGATGTGGCCACTTCGCAGCAAAAACCGTCGAGACTTTCAACGTGATACGCTTGATGGTTTGGTTTTGTAGTTAGGGTTTTTAGGGTGTATAGTGTATAGGATGCGATTCCCTCCAATATGCCATGCAATGCCATGCCGCCAATGTTTCATCAGCTCGCATCTGAAAATTGTATATTTTGTCACCAAATTTATCATATGGCAGTTGTCTATCTACATGCCTATTTACCTGTATCCAGCTATATCTACCTATTCGTATCTATCCTATCTATCATCTATCTATACTATATGTTTGTCTATCTATCTACATCTATTTGTCTATCATGTATATCTATCTGTGTGTCTACCTGTCTATAGCTACATATTCTCGTATACACGATATTTGTCGAAAGTGCGATTATGACAAAGACCGCGCGTGCATACCTTGCATAACCGGCTGCCACGGAATTTATCTTTCTATGCGCGAGATTGGACGTCGTGGTATGTAAAGGTCGACGTCATGATTTGTAGCGACTTAGACATGCTGATGGAATGCGCCTCGTTCGATTCTGGCGGCTCTAATATAGATCTGCCAGAGTCTGGCAGATCTATATAGAGCTGCCGCCGTTGTGTAGAGCCGCCAAGACTCAGGGGCCATCAAGCTGGCAGTGTGCGACAGAAAGGAACATGCTCCGGCGTGGTTTCCTGCGTAACGCACGCAAAATTGAAAGCTGAGAGCTGTGCAGATGGTGTGCTGAGCTTCCACACCGCCGAACATAAGTACTGTGCGAGCACTGTACGCCATGTCAGCAATCACTGAACTTTCAAGGGCTTGCATGCGATGCAGGCGGCTGCACACACAGTTGGCGCGCGATCCACTTGCATTCGAGGTGTCTCATACCGAGAATTGCCTTCAACATTGCCGATTGCGCCTTCTCCACTTCAGGGGCTGGCATGTCAGCTTGCAGAGGATGTACAGAACCTTGCCTGTTCAACGACAACACTGGCAAGACTACGAGGCCGCGGCTATAGATTGCGTCAAGGGCACCACGAGCAGCTTGCAACCATGAAGTTTTCAGCTGCCTTGATATTCCGAATGTGGTGACCGGTCGTTGCGAATCCGAACCAGAGTTTGCGACTTGCACCCAGCGTGCCCTATACTGTACCGTGGGTGGTGCTTGCTCTCTCTCTCTCTCTGTCTGTCTCTCTCTCTCTCTCTCTCTCTCTCTCTCTCACACTCTCACTCTACACTGCACTCTACCACTCTACACTGCACTCTCACACTCACCCTCACTCTCACTCTCGCTCTCTCACACTCTCTCACACTCTCACACTCTCACACTCACACTCACTCTCTTTGTCTCTTTGTTTCTCCGTCTTTCTCTCATCGCCTGCTCGTGACGGCACGAATTCAGGCCGTCTGACGTCCGCGCAAATCGTCGAACCTATGGAGCTCGGATTCGTGCTTTGGGTGCTCTGATGCCGCTCCGCAGACCTCAGCGCATGAAGTTGGAGGCTTTACGTGTCGTCTTTCCAGGCTACTCAGGAAATCGACGCATGCGTGTCGGATGCTCGTGCAGTCCGGCTTTTCGTATAAAAGCAATGAGTTTGAAGCTCAGCTCGCATCGCGAGTCTCTGAGGGTGGGCACCCTGCCAGCATCCGATATGCCAGCCGCCATTCGCCAGAGCAGCAATGAAAAACTGGCGTGAATGGTATACCTCGGGACCCTAAACCCGACATGCAGCAAGCATTGCACCTATTGCACGCAGTCGTAAGCAGTGACCCTCCGTCACCCCTGATGTCTCAGAAACGGAGGAACCATGTTCATATTAGTTGCGAACGGACAACCTCAGAACAAATTAGCTCCGCCGCTGCATCTGCTTGTTGGAACTCGACGGTCTTTGCGCCGAGCACTGAGGCATTTACGCAAACATTGACATGGCTCCATGTTGGGGATCAGCGGCAAGACCTGCTGACCTGTTTTGCAGTTTGCCAAAATGTCGCATGCAAATTTCTGGGCGACAGTGATTAGGTAAGGCCCAAGCGGGCACTCGAATGAACCTTCGATAAAGGCTGGTCTTGAAAAGTTCTGGCATGTTGCGGGTGCCCAACCCTCTGTGGCATTGGTTCTCATGTGGCATCGATCACAAGATTTGAACAGATCATGACGAACGCGACTGCCTGTCCTCCCGATGATGAACAGGATAGCGGACTCTTGCGCGCCGCGGTTGAGCGTGTGGTGCAAGCCCGTGGCCGTCATGGAAGCGCTTCGTGTTGGCCGTTTGGACGCTTGGCGCGAACCCGAAGGGAGTGTCAGAGCTCTCGTCGTCGGACAGGTTCTGCAGAGATTGATCGGTAAGGTGCTTGCGCAATTGTTCGCGCTCCCGCTACACCAGGCTTGCTTGCCGTTCGAGTTTGGCTTCAGTACGGGCCAGCAGGCCATATATACCTGCAACACCCAGGAGCTGTGCGCAGCTGCTGTAGCTGCTGCGCTACAGCGCCACTGCCTCCTGCCCTAACGGCCGAAGATGCAGCTGGGCACGAAGCGGCGGTTGCAACATGTCTCACTATAATACGTTTCACTCAGGCTTGACAGCGGACTATCCGCTGCGCGAGCATTCCATGCGGGTGCCCCCGAGCCTCGCTCGACTTGCGTTCAGCTGAAGCTGACCGAAGGCGACGTGATGCGAGTGACGTGCTCTCCTGGCGGCCCCCACAATGGTCCTTGGCACAGACCAAGCCGGTGACCATTCAGTTGCACAGGGCTGGCAGTGCCCCGCCGCCCATGCCTATGACGAGCGCGCTTGACCGCTAACACAACACCTGCATCCCAAACATTCCCAAATGCTGCGGTTATCACAAGCAAATCCACGATCTCCCACGCATCGTATGTGTTATGCCGACACATGCGGAACATTGCGAAATCATGCGGATGTCAGTATCCCCTGTGGCCTGTTTCCATGACTGCCGCATGCGTTTGCCATTCCCGCTTGCCCTTTGCAATTGCGGATGACGGTTGCATTTTTGTTATTATCGTTGTTATCATGACTATTATCATTGCTTCTGCCACCACACCACAATGTACAAACGACGACGACTACGACGACAACAACAACAACAACTACTACTACTACTGCTACTACTGCTACTACTACTACTACTACTACTACTACTACTACTACTACTACTACTACTACTACTACTACTACTACTACTATTACGACGACGATTACTACCACTACTACTACTACTACTACTACTACTACTACTACTACTACTACTACTACTACTATTACTACTACTTCTCCTATTTCACTTGCTGCTAATTGTCGTAGCTGTTGCCGTAGTCGTAATAATCGTTCTTGGTAGTCGCAATGTATTTGCGGTAGTAGTAGTAGTAGTAGGAGGAGCAGGAGGAGGAGGAGGAGGAGGAGTAGTGGCAGCAGTAGTTGTAGTAGAAGAAGAAGTAGTAGAAGAAGTAATAGTAGTCGTCGTCGTCGTTGTCGTCGTCGTGGCGGTGGTGGTGGCGGTAGCGCTAATCGTAGTCTTAATCGTAGTCCTAGTCCGCCTTGTGAGTTTTTGTTGCTATGACTGCGACGACGACCATTACTATGACGCTCAATATTAATGCTACTAGTGACACTAGCACGAATACTAATACTAGGACTAGTGCTACCGCTACTGCTAGTGCTGGCTGCTGTTGCTACTACGACGACTACTGCGACCAGTGCCTCGTACCTGTACTGCCGTTATTACTATTATTGCGACGACAACAACAACTACCACCACCACCACCACTACTACTACGACTGCTACGACTGCTATTACTACTACTACTACTACTACTACTACTACTACTATTATTACTATTACTACTACTACTACCACTACTACTACTACGACTACTCCTACTCGAACTACTATTACTACTACTACTGCTACTGCTACTACCACTACTACTACTACTACTACCACTACTACTATTACTACTACTACTACTACTATTACTATTACTATTACTACTACTACTACTACTACTACTACTACCACTGCCACGCGTACGGTGCCCTGCGCAGCGGAGGAGCGCAGTGCTGCGACGCGACCTTGGTGTCCCCACTCACACGCTCGGGGCACCCACAACCATGCAGCGGCCGTGGACAGGGCCGTACTGCGAGTGGCCGAGCGCCGCAAACACACCGCGTACCCGGAACCTACGCGCGGCGGACCGCAGACGCTCGTCGTGCTAGGCTCCGAGGTTGGTGGCCGCTGGAATGCCCAGGCCCGCAGCTTTGTGCGAGACCTGGTGCGTCTGAATGCATACCGCGCTCCCCCAGCCGCACGCGCGGCCGCCACCGCGGGATGGGCCAGGCGTTGGTGGAGCCTGCTCTCAGTTGCGGTGCAGCAGGCAGTCGCCAGTACGGCCTTGGGCGGCGCCTGGCTGCAACCGCTGCAACCAGAGGCCGGCGAGGGCCCGCCGCTCGACGGAATCCTCATACGCTCTTTGGATGGCCCTGGGCCGCTGCCTCACGCCC